GCTGGTCCTGCCTGTGGGCCGCGACTCGGGCCCCAGAGCTCGCGCGCTGCGCGTGGGCCGCCGCGCCTGTGGGTGCAGCGCGCGGGAAGAGCAGGGGGCCCACAGGGAGCATCAGGTGGCCGCAGGGCCTGGGGACAGCCCTGCCCTGGACAGCTGCAGGCCGCCCGCCCCCCCGCAGACCACGAGTCTCAAACGCAGCCGGTGCCGCTGACTGCGCTTCAGGTGCTATTTCTCGGTTGGAGGTTTAGACGCTCGCATGTGGGGTGCTCTGGAGGGCAGGGTCAGTCTCAGCGCTATGGACCTGCCCCAGCCACTGCAGAACAGTGGGATCCCCGGCCAGGGAGTAACCGCAGGGTGCAGCAGGCCCCTCCTTGTCCCCCGCTGACCCGTCAGCAGTGGGTCTCTGTGGATCCGCCTGTGCTGTACCCCTCGTCTGACTCTGGGGAGTCCTCTCACCCCCCACATCTCTGGCCTGCACCCCAGTTCTTGTGTGCATAAACAAGTAATCTTTAAAAACAAAAGCTCTGCAGGTGAGGCCCCCTGAGGCGGCGGGAGCTGCCAGAGCCAGAGCAGCAGGTCTACAGTGTGGGGGCTTCTGGGCCTCTGAGCCGCTGGGCGTGGCCATTGCCGGACACCCTGGCGTTTCAGACAGACCTGTCCCGTGTTGGCTGCCTAGGCCGTGAGCAACCAGGGGCTTGGAAGAAGCTGATGCTGAAAACTAGAAGAAACGGAGTGAGGCTTGCACTAGGGGAGGGCGTTGCAATGCAGAACTCTGCGAGCAGTTTGCGGAGAACCTGACGGTCCTCATGCTCCCTTGTCTGATTTCAGCGCCTGGGAGGGTTTCAGAGCCACACAGAGGGTTTCCACGTGGACAACCTTAGTCCCTGCGTGGCACGCTGTGAAACCATTACTACACTTGGTACTTTTTTAAAAAAGATTACTTGTGTATGCGTGCGGAACTGGGATGCCCGCCAGAAGTGCAGGGGCGGCGAGAGGACTCCCCAGAGACGCGGAGCAGAGCAGGCAGGTCGACGTCCAAGTACAGTGCTGAGGGAGCCCCGAGGTCTGCTGCGCCCAGCTGGGGATGGAACTGGCGCTGAAGCGGCTGCCGCGCCGCCCTTAAACCCGCTGCCATCAGGGAGGGCCGGCACGTTTTCTTTTAAGATTTACTGATACACACAGAAACTGGGGTGCAGGCCACCGGTGCAGGGGGTGAGAGGACCCCCGAGAGACAGAGTGGGGAGCAGAATCTGTGGGCCCCCTGAGACACACTGCTGAGGGGAGCAGCGAGGGAACAGGAGGGGTCCGCTGTGCCCTGGGGTCACTCCCTGGTGGGGTGGACGCGGGCTGCCGTGGCTGTGCACAGCTCCTAGCGCTGAGACTCCTGCGCCCCCAGGAGGGCCCACTCCGGGCGCCTTTGGACACAACTTTGCACCCTGGGAAGGGGCAGTCACCCGCTTCACAAGTGAGAAAACTGGGGTGCCAGGACCGCTGCGAGGCCGCCCAGCGCCCTGAGACCCTGGAGCCCAGGTGCTCAGGGTTGGGCGCACCCAGGCCCAGGCCAGCCCCGAGGCCAGCCACCGGGGGCACTGCAGCCCCGCCCCCTACACCGCAATGCCCGCCCCGCCCCTGGCCACGCCCCTGCTACTGGCCACGCCCACGGCCATGCCACGCCCCCTGCCCCTTTTCAGGCTCCTCCAGGGCCACCCACTCAGGCCATCTCAACCCCATGGCAGCTGCTGCGGGACCGGCCTGCGGCGGGGGAGCGCAGCCCCCGGGAAGGGTCTGCTCCAAGCCCGGCTGCCGGCGCCCGGACAGGTGCGGGATGCCGGCCTCGGTGCCCAGCGGCCGCTGCAGGGGTGGGTCTGCGGGTCCGAGGTGGCTTATCCCAACCCCATGAGGCACCGTTCACAGCCATTAAGAGCAGCAAGCTGGGTCACCTGGGAAGGGTCTGCATCGCGCGGTGTGGCCGGGGCCACGGGGGCTTGCCTGATGTATAAGGAAGGCCCCCAGGAGCTGAGCAGTGGGGCCTTGTTGGTAGGATTGAAAGCCGGGCTGGGGAGTCGGCTGTTGTACATCCCAGAGCGTCAGCAGATGCCCAGGTCCACCTTTCCCCCGGCGTCTTCTACTTCTCCCTCTCTGTTTTACGTCCTCGCCTGACTAACGCTGTGGGAACAGTCTGCCAATACAGGCCAGGAGCGCGCGCTTCCGCAGCAGCCTGCATCATGTCGCCCGCTCCACGACTGCGTCTGTGTCAGTGTGGTGCCGCCCGATGCAGCCGCGGGCGTGAGGCCAGGGCCCCAAAGGAGTGGCTCAAAAGCGATCAGGGGACCCCCCCAGGTCTTCTGCTGCCAGTTCTCAGAACGAGGGTGCCTCTGTTGCGGGACTCCTGAGGGGGAACAAGGAGGTCCAGCGGGTCCTGGCTGGCGGCCTCGTCACCCACCTGGAGCAGACGGGGCCCCTTTCCCGGCGGCCAGGCAGGGAGCATCGGGTTCAGCTCGCGGGCAGGCAGCCGCCCGTCGAGGTTCGGCTCAGCTCGCCGGCAGCCAGCCTGCCTGTCGGGCGTGTCCCGCACGTGAGTCTTGCCTCCGGCACTGGGCACTGGCAACGAAGAGTAATTAAGTCTTGGCACCGTTGTGCCACATTGCGCAATGCCCCGTAGCCATAAATTCGTATCTGAGCAAACCTCGACGGGGTTTTCCTAAGCCTGACAGTAATACACCTGCAACTGCGAAGTGGAAACAGACCTGTCTTAAGCCGTTGGTGAAAGTATGTTTTGACCCATGACCTTAAAGTAGAGGCCAGTTGTCCTTTTATTCTCTCTGTGGGAAATGATGTTATAAAACTCATATGAGGAGCCACTGAAGGAACCTGGGGGAAGTATCACAGAGCCGAGTCACTCGGTAAAATAGTAAAAATGCTACATGTGATTTAAAATGTGGAAGTCATATGTGATAACTGCCACTTTTTAAATACTTATTTATGCACACAAGGCTGGGGTGCAGACCAGAGGTACAGGGGTGAGAGGACTCCCCAGAGACAGTGGGGAGCAGAACAGGCGGATCCACCGAAACCCACTGCTGAGGAGACAGGCGGGGTCTTCTGCGCCCGGCGGTCACTGCCTGGCCAGGGTGACACTCGGGCTCTCTGGAGGACAGGGCTGAGGCTTAACGCTCAGGCCCCCGGGGACACTGAAATGTCCTAACTGCTTGTCAGTAATCTGCGCTAACCAAGCACAGCCCTGCGCACCTGACTTGGTAGCTCTGTGCTGCTTTTCCCAGCTGTATGTGCTTTGCAGTGCACAGAGCCTGCAGCCCGCGGCCTCACACTGGGCTCTCCGGCCAGCGGCCCCCGAGGTGTTCCTGCGGGCGGGCCCACAGGGAAGGCCGAGGTCGTCCACGACCACACTGGCTTGCTGTCGGTGTGAAGACGAGTGCGAACCAGACTGGACCACGTTCTTTTCCCTTCTGGTTTTGAAGTAACTGTTGGGGGGTCTCCAGAAGTGTCACGGCCCTAGCGCCGCCTGGACCTGCTGCCCGGGCCGGGGACGCCAGCCCTCTCTGTCTCTGTACCTGTGAAAGGACACTGCCCAGGCAAGTGGTGTGTGAACGGGGGGCCACGTGCAAGGTGTCTCAGGCCTCGGGTCACCATCGGGAGGTTGATGAGTGGGAGCCGCCCTGGTCAGCCCGAGGGAAGCTTCGCAAGGGGCCAGCGTGAGTGTGATCTCATTAAGACGCTCTGCTGGGCCTCATGGCTGTCACCGAGAGGGCCTGAGTGCCACCCCGGCCAGGGAGTGACCCTCAGGGCGGAGCAGACCCCTCCTGTGTCCCTGCTGCCCCGTCGGCCACAGGTTTCAGTGGATCCACCTGATCCGTCCCCCAGTCTGTCTCCGGCCTGCACCCCAGATATTCTACGCTGACATAAATAAAACATTACAAAAGATTCTACTGCGTGCGCTCACTCAGGCAGGACGGGCGCAGACTGCCCTCCGCCGGCCGAGGCCTGGCCGCTGGTGCCCGCGGCCCGGAGCAGCCGCAGCGAGCCGCGCAGTGGACAGAGGGGTCTGGGCGGCGGCCCCGGGTGGAGGCCCGCAAGCCTTCCAGCGGGCGAACCTTCGCCGTCTCCCCACCTGCTGAGCGACTTGGGTCAGGAGCGACTCTGCGTGTGCGGTTGTCGCCCTTGCCCCACGGGAGCCGAGGCGGGTGGCGGCGGTGGCGGCCCCCTGCCCTCCCTCGTGGGGTGCCACCCCGCGCCGGCCCTGTCCGAGGCGCTGGCCG